AAGATCTTTAATTGCTCTTGGTGCAAGTGGAGTGATTGCTGCAAAAGAACTTTAGCCCTTCCTTTGCAGATTACAGTTTGTTGAAAAATACACATAGCTTAATCTCCTATTTCTATTGGCGGACACAGCTATCAGATATCAATGAAAATATTTGAAGCTGCAATTCTGTTTCTTGTCACGTGTTAACAGTGCCTCCTGGCGGTTGCTTTAGACATTACAAATCAGAAATGTATGTGAAACACGGTAACAAGTGGACCACGAATGAAGTCAGTGTGACCTAACCGCTCTCTGTCTAATCAACCTCTACAAAACTACAGATACAAAGTCGTGACTACCTGACACATCGCTTCCTAGCTAGTACACCCAAACTACAGCATCTGGCGAAGCAGACCCAACATTTCTATGTGGAAGGGTGCCGGCTGTTTTTATTTGTTACCTTCGCCAGGAAGGCTATGTTTTCAGAGGCGTTCGTGTGTGTGTGTCTCTGTGTGTGTCCGGAAACACGATAAATTAAGAAGACTTTAATGGATTGACTTGTTAAACTAGCAAAGTTCATACCCACCTAAGTTCAAAGCTCTGAAGGCAGAGCGGAGGAACGGCGCGGAGACAAAGCGTTCACGGATGGATTCCAGGTTACTAATTTGCATAATTGGTGTGAAAATTCTGTGATTCCTCATTGGTGAATGCTGGGACATGTGTAAGTTACTTAAAGGTTAACACCACTATGCATTGGGAACCTTACTTAGTATTATATACAATAATATCGCTATAATGGACTAGAAGGCCTCACTGTGAAGGATGTCAAGTGCCAAGATTTATTTCCAATACCTAACACATCAATTTCATCACCATCAAGTATACATAACATATCAAAAACAATATATAATATTTAAAAAAAGCAATAAAAACCTGGAGGTATGAAATCATCGATTTCTCTTATTCTAGCTATTCAGCGACGGTCTCCACAAATAAGGAGACTGATAACTGCCGTAATCAATTTTTAACTTGTATGTACTTGTGTTATGAGGTACTTGTATGTACTAGTGCTATGAGGTACTTGTATGTACTTGTGTTATGAGGTACTAGTATGTACTAATGGTATGAGGTAGTAGTATGTACTTGTATTATGAGGTACTAGTATGTACTTATGTTATGTTACTTGTTACCGTGATTCACATACATGTCTGATTTGTAATGTCTAAAGCAACCGCCAGGAGGCACTGTTAACACGTGACAAGAAACAGAATTGCAGCTTCAAATATTTTCATTGATATCTGATAGCTGTGTCCGCCAATAGAAATAGGAGATAAAGCTATGTGTATTTTTCAACAAACTGTAATCTGCAAAGGAAGGGCTAAAGTTCTTTTGCAGCAATCACTCCACTTGCACCAAGAGCAATTAAAGATCTTTTGGAGCAATACATTAGGCGGCAACTCAGCTCAGCTGGCATCCCAGTAAACGAATCGGATATTGTGGCCTAGTGCCTCATAACAAAAGTATATACTAGTACCTCATAACAAAAGTATGTACTAGTACCTCATAACAAAAGTTTATGCTTAATACCTCATAACACAAGTGCATACAAGTACCTCCTAACACAGGTACATACTGGTACCTCATAACAAGTAAATACCATTGAAGAGGTTCATCAGTCAAGCAGAATTAACAGTTAGTAGAAATCCTTCGATCAGTGATTGTATCTTTGTAAGGTCGGTTACGTACCTCCAAATTCCGCTACTCCGCAAGGAGGCGGGGGAGGCCAGAAGATCCACACAAGTCTCGACATAGCCTCGTGTTCTCGCGAGACTAGGTCATTCCGTGATCAAGGTGTACAGTCGACACCGAAAATTTGGAGGTACGTAATCTACCTTGCAAAAATACAGTCACTGATCGAAGAATTTCCACTAAGTACATATCAGTACTACATAACACAAGTACATACTAGTACCTCATAACGCAAGTACATACTAGTACCCCATAACACAAGTACATACTGGTACCTAATAACACGGGTATATACTAGTACCACATAACAAAAGTACATACTAGTACCACATAACACAAGTACATACTAGTACCACATAACACAAGTACATACTAGTACCACATAACACAAGTGCATACTGGTACCACATAACACAAGTACATACTGGTACCACATAACAAAAGGACATACTAGTACCACATAACACAAGTACATACTAGTACCACATAACACAAGTACATACTAGTACCTCATAACGTAAGTACATACTAGTACCCCATAACACAAGTACATACTGGTACCTAATAACACAGGTATATACTAGTACCACATAACAAAAGTACATACTAGTACCACATAACATGCACAAGTACATACTAGTACCACATAACACAAGTGCATACTGGTACCTAATAACACAAGTACATACTGGTACCACATAGCAAGTACATGTACATACGAGAACACGAGACTAATAGGTCGAGACTTGTGTGGATCTTCTGGCTTCCCCCGCCTCCTTGCGGAGTAGCGGAATTTGGAGGTACGTAATCGACCTTACAAAGATACAATCACTGATCGAAGGATTTCTACTAACTGTTAATTCTGCTTGACCGATGAACCTCTTCAATGGTATGTACTTGTCATGAGGTACCAGTATGTACCTGTGTTATGAGGTACTTGTATGCATTTGTGTTATGAGGTATTAACTCTACCTAGACCGGGCTTTTTTGACATGAGGGGACCGGGGGGG